ATTTTAAGACTTCCGCCAAAATATTTCGAAAGAATATTATGATTTACGTGAATTGAACCGATTTCAAAATATCCCGAAAAATCTCAATACATATTTTGATGCCGTTGACAAAACATTTAAATGCTTTTATGCTAATTTAAGTGCTTCTATTAGCTAAAGTGATTTTTGTGGAAAAATATTTTTTAAAACTATTTTTTTTAAACTCGATTTTTGGAGTTATTTTCAATTTGGTCTAACCCACATAAATTTAATATTTTTTAGAAATATTTTGGCGGCAGTTTCAAAGCATAATAAAATTTATAATTCCGATGGAAAAACAGTCCTTTCTTGTGTAGTAAGGCGAGTGAAGCTCGCTAATATATCTAGATACATATGCACATATGCACATATATATACTCTTATACATGCTGATAAATATATGTGTGCATGTATGATATTTCATTTGTGCTTTTATGTAACTATATATATTTATGTACGTATGCACATTAGGGTGGTCTAAAAAGAGTAAAGTCAGAATTTTAATTCTCACCCCCTAGGATTGTTCTATTCGAAAAAATATACCCCTATTTTTTTATATCAAAAAATATTGAGAGGTCGCTCAAAGTTTTCCATGTAGTTTATATGGGGAAAAACAACTTTTCGTAGAAATGTAATAGAATTCTGGAAAGTCATTATTTTTCGATCGGAAAACTCAGGTTATCTTCAGAAGACTTTCAATAGTAATACCCAATTGTTTATTTAACATAATACTAACGAATTTTTATTGTATTTTTCGGGGTTTTGGGGGATTTTTGGCGGACTTTTAAATCATAGTTACTGTAAAAAATGGTTAAATAAACGATTGGGCGTTATTATTGGGAATCTTCTGCAGAGAAACAGAGTTTTTCGTTCGAGAAATATTGATTTTTAAGAATTCTATACAGTTCTACTAAAAGTGTTTTTTTCACATATAAAATACATGGAAAACTTTGAGCGCTTTGAGCGACCTCTAAATATTTTTTGATTTCAAAATAAAAAATTAGGGTATATTCCTTTCGGTAAAGAATAATCCTAGGGGGTGAGAGTGTAAAAATTACGACTTTACTTTTTCACTCGCACTTTGGACCACCCTAATATACATACATTCATATGAAAAAAAATCTCCACTTAAGTTTTGCAATTTACGCAAAGAACTCTTTAGCTAATCCATTTTGCCGACAGCTTAAGTTAAAGTGTTTATATAAAACTAAGTAGATGCACACATAGGCATTTTTATATGTACATACATACATACTTTCTTACATAGTTTGTAAGTAAATACATTTTTATAAGAAATACATATACATATGTATGTACCTACACATGTATGTACGTATATAATATGAACCACTATGTAGTAAAATTGCTACTTTTCTTCAAGTACACCACGCAACAATGCTATGCGAATACGGCAGTCATTGAACCTTATTTATCTGCATGTTTATCGATAACTTTCAAGTTTTATTTATCACAGTTTTTATCCATGTATATATCGAAAGATTTACCGATAAATCTATTGATCGATTTATCGATAAATCTATCGATTAATTTATCGATAAATCCATGATCGTTTTATCGATATGTTTTTCGAAACTATTATTAACACGCTTTTTGTCAAGAACGCATATAGGCTAATAACATATTGATACCTCTAAAGATATTTTCATATATGTATCGATATCAATCGTTGTTATATTTATCGATAAATTTTTAAATGTAGATATAAGTATTTACCAAAATTTTTGTGACATTTTTATCAATAGCAACGTCCAATGCCCGTAAAGCAAGAGACTGTACATAAAATGAAGAATTCAGGCTCTGCAATTCACTTCCGAGTGAATTTCAACCAAAGCCATTTTGAATACATATAGAAATGGATTTTGTCGAGTAAACAAGCACGAACTTATTTACAAACATATAAGACATCTGTTCCTTGCCAACGATTTTTGTTTTTTATTATTTGGAAGTAGAACAAAAGAAGACGTTTTTTGGTGCAATATTTTACGAATACATTTTTTCTTAAAAGAGATAATTTTTTTTTTATCTTTCCAATGCATTATATGTATGTGTAAGAAAGCATTCTTCGATAAACATACAGTTTTGCTATGTAATGGGGTTTTTTATATTTTCAGTTCCTACATTATTATTTGGAGTTTAGGTTTCTCAGAGGTGTTGTGTGTGATTAACTTATTACTTAATATAGTTTAAAAAACTAAACCTCCCAATGGAGCCAAAAGGGTCCACACAGGTAGGTACCGATACTTTAGCATCGACATTTTTCGCCTATCGATACTTTCTTTAGATACTACTCCCAAAAATAAAAATAAATATTGATGATTGGTCAAGAGTTAACAAAAAAGTTGAAAACTTAAAAATTTGTTGCACATCCAAAAGTTTGTTGTATGGTGTTGTTTTGTTTTTTATGAAAACGGCAGAGCTTTAAGCGGCGCCATTTTGCCTTCAATGCTAATAGTTAAGTTGGTTTATTTTTCCTGTTTTTAGTTTTATTCTGATTTATTTATTATATACAATTTCAGAATTTACAACAATTTTGTCGTCTATGTAACCAGCCACAGTCCTTAAGAAAATGAAAATCTCCTCTGCTTCAAATCATTTTCAGCTAATGTGTACACAGGCGTCCTTCTGTATTCATTCATTTGAATAATATGCGTATTGCGTTTGGAGCCAACCGAATTGAACGAAAATGTTCAAAAAATAATTGAAACATTCTTCAAATTACAATATATATATTTTTTCTGCTTTGAATTTGTCCTACTTTGATATTCCTTATTGTATCAGCTCCACTGGATTTGTTTATTGCAGATATATGTAGTTTGTCGTCTGCTTTTAATATTTAGCTTAGAACTTAGTTGCCCTGAATGCAACAGAAGTGGGCAACTTCCAGTTTTACCGCCTTAGAAAAATGCACATTCTCATCCACGAAGAAAGCGGAATATTATCTCCCTGAGAGTTTGGGTAAAACTTCCCACCCCGAGACGAGCACAATAGGCGCCACTTGTCTCTGCGTACTTTCCTGCCGATGTAGAGAAGTGACAGCTTTCGGCGAGTAAATACTACCAGCAGAGTGGTCTGCCCTTTTTTTCTCTCATGTGATGTCAATACGCATAAGTAAATAGTACTGTTTGGTAAAGTAATTAAACAAACATATAGCGTGAGTAACTCTTTGAGTTATGGTGTTTTCGTTTCTACAAAAAAAAATTTGTTTGATTGCCCCTTTCTCTTTTCGAGTTATGTGTGTTATTTGTGATAAACAATGGCTTACGTCGAGACACCTAACATTTTGGTTGTTGTATAACTTTTGGAAAAAAAAGTGTTGTTTTTTGCGTTTACAAACACTTTAGGACCTCCTCTGCAACCTATCCGAAAATCGAGCAAAAGTAGTTTTTCGCCAATTGAAATAGTGTGGAATGCCTCTCATAGGGTATTGGCGATCCTTGTTTTTGCTTGTGTGAGTAAAATTTTTAGTAATTTTTCATGAAAATTGCTGTAATATAAAAAGTAGCTTGTGAAAGTGTCAAATTGAATTTTTTAAGAGAGTTCAAGATGAGAGCAAGAGGAACGCGAATGTACAATACCTTTTTTATTGTATCATGATGTAAAAGTATTTTTATAGATATTATTGACTGAGCAAAAAAATTCAATAGCTGCTGCCATTGGAAGCTGAGTATTACATATTTTATGTATTCTGACGTAGTTGAGTTTGAAAGAGATTTTTATTTTATGACTGACTACAAAAACGTGCTATAAATAAATTAATACGTACATACATATGTATGCTTAGAGTAAAAAGTTGCTAAGACCAATTCTTATGAAAACACATATTTTGTTGTATGAGGCAAGAAAAAAAATGCACCATTTCGCGAAAGGGTTAAGATATTTGTTTTATTCAATTAAAGGCAAATTTTCTAAGCCCGAAAGAGGCACCGAAAATCCGATAAGGCCAAAATGATACAAAATCTTTTAATGAAGATTGCATTCCGCTGATTCGTATGGAGTTTTGCTTTTTTTTTTGCGAAATACTTGAAGAAAGTGGCTATAAGAGGTTTCTTTCCTCTCCTATAATATTTTTAAAAATGGACTTAGAAACTTTTCACTCCAAAGCTTCCGCTTTTTACACACTTGCTTGCATTCATATATGTACATATGTGCGAGTGTATATTTACATGTATATTTATGAAAAAACGGTATTATTCTAATCATAATTCTGAGTGTGTTTGAAATTTATGTATACTAGCGTATGCTGCTCTGCCAACAGCTGTGTCATGTCAATCCATTTGACGTTTACAATCCGAAATTTGACGGTTGGTGTTATCTTGTTTATATGTGGATTTATATTTGTATATAAATGTAAATCCATACACATACATACATACATAATACATACATATTAACACACGTAGATTGATGTTTAATAAATTAATTTTGCCATACTCCTTTGAATCAATAACTAATTAAATTTTTTTTTAATATATATTTGTTCCTAGAAATAGTTAAAGCTCATTAAGTTTGAAAAGCAAATCTGCTGATTTATTATGAAGTTTTAGCAAAGTTCATTGCGCTTGAATCACCTCTAAAATACCTAACAGATTGCGTAGAAGTTCACTTAACTGCGAGTCATCTGCTGTCTATGTTGTTGTTTTTGTTTTTTGTTTTCAGTTATGAGCATTTAGGAAGCTTTTAAATGCTTAAAATATTCATGCTTAATTAAACTAAAACTCAACTATTTTTATTGCTTAACACAGCTTCCGTCCATAGTTAGCTTAGCAAATCACTACGCTTTTCAGCTGATCCATTTTAAACTAGATTTGATCATATAAATAGATCGCCAACCAGCCGTTAGAGCATTATCAAATTTTAATCGTTGACGTGTTAAGAGCACGAAAATGGTGCGTAAATTTTTAGTGTGAATTACATATATTAAAAAAAATAAATTAAAAAAAATATATTAAATTTTTTTATAGAAACTCTTCGTTGCTGTTTCCTTTGCCTTACTGGCCTGCGTCGTGGCTGATGTCTCTCATCTAGCACACAGTGGTTATGATTATCCCGTTCCCGCACCGGCATATGAGGAAGTAAAATCTGAACCGATAGCACCACAAAATACTTACATTCCTCCAGCGCCGCCAGCGCCACCAGCTCCAGTGCTCGACATACGTTCGGAACCAAGTGCTCCACCACCACCAGCGGCACCTATAAATACTTACATACCACCAGCACCACCTGCGCCACCAGCTCCTGTGCACCACGCCATACATTCAGAACCAATTGCACCTCCTCCACCACCACCACCGCCACCAGCGGCACCTAAAAACACCTACATCCCACCCGCTCCACCAGCACCACCAGCTCCTGTGCATGAGGCCGTACACTCTCATCCCAT